AGCAACTGCAATTGGGAAAGAAAACTATAGCCTGCATCTGCTGATTTTTCATACTGAGAAAAATCATAATTCCAATAGTATCTGGAAGTACTCCAAAGTATTTCTAGGAAAAGGTGATTCTTCCCCTTCAATTGATATAACAAAGTTCTTATTTCACCTAATCAACTGAGACTGTTAGGTACATTTGTTATAAGTTTTCCATATATATCATTGGTTCCCACATCCCCTAGATACTGCTCCAGTGGCAAGGAGTAATAAAAAGTAAAGAGGACACCATTTTTTCAATCACTCCCTATGCACATGTGACCATGTATCTTACACTTATTAGATTTTATCTTAAACATGCTAAAATAGATGCTTTTGGGCAATCTACATAGTGAAACCTGAACTATATCTGTGGGCACCTATACACAAGCACCAAGGCTAGAATTCCAGTGCAACTCAGCAGAATCAATTAATTGAGTCTGCTGGAGTGTGGCAATTTCCACACTTCAGCAGCCTCCTGCATCTCAAGTATCAGCATCTCCATGCTTAAAAGTTTGAGCTTTAGTTCAAGCACCCCCACGGCCATTTTCAAGTGAAGGAACACTAATACACGAGATGTGGTAGCACACGTCCAGAGCATGTATAAAAGTGCCCTGTGTTACATAGATATTTTCATCATCTGGATAGATCACCTGGACTTGCTTATTGGCTTCTACCACAGGTTCAAGAATTACTCTTCTATCAAATTATTTCTGGAATACTCCTATATTAATATCAATTTTCTAAATACCACAGTACACATCTGGGATGATACCATACTACTGACTATATATAGAAAACAGTGGACTACATTAATTACATTTACAAACCCAGTAATTATTCCAAACATACCAAGAAAACTTAAATCTATAGATGTGCTACTTTGAAGAGAATACTCATGACTCCTACCTCATCACCTTGAAAGCTGTCTTAGTCACCAAGGAGAGTCCAGCAGAGAGAGACCTCATCTTGAATAAGCCACCCAAATATCTTTTAGTAGCCACCTACAAACACCTCCCCCACAAAAAAATACTGACCATGGACCCCTGGTGATCACATACTAACTCAAAATGGAACTTTTAAGAAGGTTCATCAAACCTTCCTTGGAGGGTCAGAGCAATCCCAGTTGGGTCATGAGTGGCTAGAGGGCTCTGGGAACAAAGTTTAGGGGTGCAGGTGGTCTTGTCCTTGATCCTCCCACTTATGGGTCATGGGCTGAGGAGGGAGAGATGGATTGAGGTAGTGAACTGAAGACTGCAGCACTGGTGTCATTGTGAAGGCTTCAGCTTTCATGATCACAGTCTGCTCTTTGGTGAGAGAGGCAGTGGTCTGCTGGGAACAGACAACCTCCACCTCACCTCACTGGGGAGGAAGCTCTTTTCAGCCACAATGACTGACCTGCTTGACCACGCTTTAAACTAAGCCAGCCGGGGGATGGGTGGACAACCACTAAAGCAAGCCCACTAGGCAACTACTGCCAGGGTGAGGGTGAATTTATACCCAACATCAGTGTAGACCTTGTAAAGGAATACCTTGAGAGGCTGGATACCTTCTAGTCAGTGCTCTTGACAGATTGCACCACAGAGTACTTAAGGAGCTGGCAGGCATTGTAGCCCAGCCACTGGCAAGGATATTCAAGAACTTGTGGCACTCAGGTGAAGTTCCTGAAGATTGGAAGAAGGCCAATGTGGTACCTATCTTCAAGAAAGGGAGGAAAGTAGATCCGGGGAATGACAGGCCAATCAGCTTGACCTCAATCCCTGGGAAGATTTTGAAAAAAATTATCAAAGAGACCATTCTTGACAAGCTGGCTGATGGCAACATCCTGAGGCATAGCCAACATGTGTTTATTGTGGGTAGGTCTTGCCTGACCAATCTCATTTCCTTCTATAACCAGGTGACATATCACCTGGACAAGGGGAAGAGATTGGCGTCATATATCTGGACTTTAAAAAAGCCTTTGATATGGTGTCCCATGATCTCCTCACAGGAAAAATTGGCCAATTGTGGCCTTAGCTACATCACAGTCCAATGGCTGGGGAATTAGCTCCAAGGTCAGACCCAGAGAGTGGTAGTTGACAGAAGTGAATTATCATGGCGCTCCATGACCAGTAGTGTCCACCAAGGCTCGGTCCTTGGACCTGTACTCTTTAATGTCTTTATTAATGATGTGGACACTGGTGTCAGAAGCGGACTGGCCAAGTTCCCCGGTGACACCAAACTTTGGGGTAGAGTATCCACAACCGAAGATAAGCTGGTGATCCAGGCTGACCTTGATAGGCTTAGAAAGTGGGTGGATAAAAACTGCATGACATTCAGTATGGAAAAATGCAAGGTACTCCACCTCAGGGGAAAAAAACCCGCAGCATGGTTATAAGCTCGGCAGTGCTACCCTCGCTAGCACCATGGCAGAAAGGGACTTGGAGGTCATGATTGATCACAAGATGAACATGAGCCACCAATGCAATGTCACAGCTGGTAAAGCAAACAAAACTCTGGCTTGCATCCATAGATGCTTCTCAAGCAAATCTCAGAATGTCATCCTCCCGCTGTACTTGGCCTTGGTGAGGCCGCAGCTGGATGACTGCATCCAGTTCTGGGCTGCACAACTCAAGAAGGATGTGGGGAAGCTTGAGAGAGAGGAGTCTAGAGGAGAGCCACACGCATGATCAGAGGGCAAGAGGACAAGCCTTATGAAGAGAGGCTGAGAGCCATGGGACTCTTCAGCCTGAAAAAGCACAGGCTCAGGGGTGACCTGGTGGCAGCCTATAAGTATATAAGGGGTATGCATCAGGATCTGAGAGAACGCCTGTTCACCAGAGCACCCCAAGGGATGACAAGGTCCAATGGTCACAATCTCCTCCAAAACTGTTTTAGGCTGGACATAAGGAAACACTTTACTGTCTGAGCCCGAAAGGCCTGAAATAGACTCCCTCCAGATGTGGTGTAAGCACCTACTCTGGATTCTTTTAAGAAATGTTCAGACACTTATTTTGCTGGGATCCTTTGACCCTAGCTGACTTCCTGCCCCTGGGGCAAAGGGCTGGACATGATGATCTTCCAAGGTCCCTCCCAGCCCTAATGTCTATGAAATCTATGAAACAATGACATTTTATAGTCAAAGAGGTTCACACCTTGAGAGAAGTATTACCAGTCCCTTCCCTATCCTTCCCCCCACTCCTGGCTTTCAGACACTTGTGTAACTAGGGTGGGGCAATTGCTCTGGGTGCTGACTTGGGGGGCATGAAAAATGTGGCTGCTGCTGGCAGTTACACAATTGAACAACAAACAGAAATCGCTACTAGTACCCATGTGCCCTGGGTGCCTGGCTGCATCCCTAACCTGCTGCTTAAACAGCCTCCAAACCTTGTCCAAATCATTATCAGAAGCAAACTTTCTGCTGAACAACATACACCAAGTGGGTCACAACCTTCCCTTAACAATAAATATACAAACAGTCAACATGTCTCCACTGCCACCACTATCAACAGCTCCCATAACAAAATCATCAGAATCTACAGATCCTACATGTCTATCACAGAACCTGGTATATCTTACACAATGTACCAAATGGCATCATGGAACTTGTGGTAGCTTCCTGGCTTCTAGCACTAACAGTAGGTCATTTCCCAAAGATCTAGTAGGCATGCTATCTTCGTGTCCTAAGTTAAAAGCACAATTGACCAACTTTTGCAAAGTTTATAGACCTCTTTGTATTGCAAAATGCATCAGATTTAAGTAATTTATTTTGTTAGTGATGCAAGAATGCTAGAAATTCTTGCATTCCGATGCCACCTACTGTAAAATAAACCATTCAGAAGAACAAAACATAATGAATGGGGTGATGGTAGGGGGGAATGAAGAAAGGGCTGAATTTTAAAATGTTTCCCAGATGGGACTAAGAAAATGCATACTTTAAATGTAATGATCTGAAAGGGCAGTGGCTGTTTTTTAAAATTCATTTTTATTATTTTTGTAAAACTTGTGCTATAACTCACAATACAGTCCTGTTTTCCACCATAACAATTTGAAACATGTGAGGTATTGCAAACATTTTGGCACTTACAGAGCTTTCAAGCTTTCTGTTAATGTGGAGGGCAAGATTGGAGAGCGGAGAATATATATCAAACAGAAAACATTTGAACAGAATAACTCTAATCTCCATTTCTGAAATCTTCCAAGGACTAAAGTTAATAGCCTAGTATGTTGTTGCACAGTTTGAAAGGCATCAATCCAGCCATTTTAGCCTTAGCTTTATCTACAGTAGTTGCAATACATTAAACAAACAGATATTAACAACCAAGCAGTTGAACAAAAAACAGTTACTTAGTTAACTTTAATAGATATGCCTATTTAGATTGAATTAAAGGAATGCTTAAAGTGATAGTGTTTTAATAACAGAATATTAGATCATTAATTGCCTACTCCTGAAAACAATATTTACCACAGTACTTATTGAGTTATTGTCACTAACAATCCTACTTAGGACACTGAGACTCTCTGAGCTTCAGAGTTTTCTGTATTACCCATAACATTAGTAAATATACCTTTGGCACTATGCATTTCCAGCATTAGTTCCAAGTGTTCCTGTCAATATTAAATTAATTTTAAGGGTTTGTGCCCATCTTTTATAGGCTCAGTTTAAATTTATCTAGAAGATTTTGTACGATCTGGCTGCATCTACGCATGCTTAACTATGGAATAGGCTAATTAGCTGTGGAGTAAAGTGTCACTGTCTACATGGGGTGATGCCAGGGTAATTTACGCCAGGGTAACGCACATGTAGGCATTGACTGCAGGCATAAATTGTGACTGCCCCTCCACTGCCCACCACTGTCACCTGGAGCCTGGGGGTGAGCATCCTTGGCATAAACTGCTCTGCCTCTGCTCAAATTGCTGCTGTTCCAGGTGCACATGATCCCAGGCACATGTTTAGATGCTGTACCTGGGAGTAATTACTCTGGCTCAAACTGCCCCAGAGCTTATTGCTTCACATTAGTTGCATGTGTAGATGCACCCGCTGTCTTGGAAGTGATTTGCTTTGGTAAGTGATCTGATGTTTTCATGTAGGGGAACAAGTATTCACCCTGCTGTACTACTATTAGAACCTTTTTCTTCACCTGGCTAATGATGGTCTTCCCATAATAAACAGGAAACATTTACTCCTTCAAATGTCTTTTTGCACTATGATTGTAGTAAGCATTATGAGCCTGATATTGCTCCCACCCTGGTTTCATAGGAGTGAATTAAATATAAAAATGCTACTAAACAGTCCCTTTAATCCCTCAAGACACTTGGAAAACATTACAGCAAAGAGCACAGACTTGTAAGTTTTTCATTAAAAATTATTATATGAACAATGTGTTCATAGTTTTAGATTCAGTTATGTGATATTTCTGTTTGTTGCCACATGTTCTTCAGTGGTGGCTTCTATACATTTTTACTCTTCCTCTACTATTTTAAGAAAATCTTTTCCCCTCACAGGTTTCCTAGGCTTGTTTTTTCACTTCTATATTCATGTACTTCAATTATGATCTTGCCCTTATGATGTCCCTATTTATGACTGCTGATATAAGTGAAAAATGACCCATGTGTAAATTGTCCAATTCTCAAAAATAACTATTATTCTGTAATCAGTTATACTAATGTACTGGTCCACACTTCTGCAGTGTGGTAGCATACAAGTGAAGGTATCTTGTTATGATTTCAGAGCCAGAAATGTTATTCTAACTCCAGATTCAGATCATTTCACAGTCAACTAAGCTATAAATTGGCATCTGATTAGTTAGAGGGAAACATGGGAGGCAAGGGTGCCTCGGCTTGTTGCTAGTCATACTACTTTCTTTGTTGCCATTTGTTATGCCTTAACAATGCTGGCCTTAGGCTAAATTTGGGTGGACCCTTGGACTTTGACCAACACTCAGTGGGTGCATCTACACATGCAATTAATTTGAAGCAATACATTCTAGAGCAGTTTGAACTGGAGTAAACTACTCCTGGGCAAAGCATCTACAAATATGCCTAGGACAGCAGCAATCTGAATTGTAGTGGAGCAGTTTACACAAAGGCCACTCCTGCCCTACTGGCAGGGGTTATATGAGGTCAGCCCCGGGCTCTGGATGGTGGTGTTAGGCAGCGGAGGGGCAGGCTGGGGCACAAGGTCCTGAAAGTGCAAACCTATGTGGCTAAGCAGCAGGCAGGAGTCTGGCCCCTAGCTGGTGGGGGAAATGGGATGCAAGTTATGCCTGTGGTCAGCATCTAAACTTACGTTTAATTGCAGTTAATTATGCTGCCATAAGATAACACAGTCCCCAATGATACTATCTTATGGCATCATTAATTAGTTTACTGTGGCCTAATAGCATTGCAACTGTAGATGGTGACACTTTACTCTGCAGTTAATTAGTCTACTCCGCAGTTAGGCACATGTGTAGACACGGCAAGTATGTTAGGTAGCAGGAGGTTGGGAGTCATAAAAGACAGATGTAAAACCTGTTTCTAATGTTGTTGAAATCCCCATGCCTCTAGCTAAGATCTTAAAACTACCTCTTTATTAAGTACATGTGAGCAAATCTAATCCTATTAATTTGAAGTCAGTAGGAATACTCTGAATTTGCACTGGTAAGCAACATCAGAATCTGGCCATGAAGGTTCTGCTCCAGACAAGCAAAACGTTGCTGGTATATTCAATAACTTCCTGGAACTAGCATCAAGCACTTCTGGCAATTAAGATTCCTCCTATGGATTTTTAAAACATTAATTTGTTGACAGCTTGACTAAGAGAGGAAGTGTCATAGTTTGGAAGATATGTACAATCTAAGCTGAAAAAGAAATCAATTTCTCTGTAGCAATTAAATATTGTCTTCAAAATCCTGCCTGAAATATAATGTGGGCCATTCTCCTAAGATATTCATCTGATCAGAATTTTTTAAAAACATCTTTGTGCCCCCTGCCCTTCACCTTCCCTTATACAAACTGTTTGTGTTGGAGGAAAATTGGAGTTACAGAACAAGGTGCTTGACTGTGTACCAGGTCAGAAGAGTGTTTGTTTTGAACTGTAACTAAAAGGACAAATCTCCACCTCAGTCAAGACAGAATGTTTCATGTTCACTAGATCTATCCATGGCTATAGTGTAGTTTAAAAGACTGCTGACATGTATATAATTTGGGATCTTTAAAATATTTTATTCGTATATATATTGTGGTTATAGGACATTGAAAAATCTGTTAAAAATTTAAATTTATTTTGTAGTCTAGTAATTTTAGACTAGACTACAAATAGTAATTTTAAGGAAAGAGACTATTTCAGCACAAGTATATCATAAAATATTATTGCAGTTAAGCACATAGCTAATACATTCACCATGCCATATACATGTCCCATGTTCTACTTGTATGATTTTTTTTTGACAAATACTATGCTATATTGTACTTTTGATTAATAAATTGCCAGTGTTTCATTGCTGTGGATCAATTATACGGTGAACGCATTCTAAAAGCAACAAAAACTTTTCCCTGCCAATTCAGTGCATCTGTAGAGTGCCTGCATTAGACTGGTTACCTAAGTATCATATTTACTTGAATATAAGATGACCCCCTAATAATTAAACTTTTACACATATTCAATATATATAGAAAATGTATACATTTGCTATAATTTTCCGCGTATAGAATCTAATTATTGGAGGTTTGTCTTGAATTTGTCAACCTCCTACTGCTACAGCAGGGAAAATAAATCTGCCCCCTGCCCTCCCTGTAGTCCCTTCCCTCGCTGCTTACCAAAAGACCCTGCTGTCCTTAAGTACATGAAATTGAGGAGCAAATTTGAAAACACTGACCTTGAAATAAACATACCTATAGTAATTTGCATATAGTACCCATAGACTTAGTTCATCCAGAATTGATGCATTTGACCTTTTTATAAACTTTGACCTTTTTTAAACCTTTTTTTAAAACTGTTTTAAAAGTTTTAGCACAAGTACTTCATACACACACTTTTAAGCAGGACTGTTTTACCTACTTATATAAAGAATAAACTATGCATGATATTAGTCCAAAGCCTAAAGGTTCATGATTTACCATATAGTTCACTGCATTGGGAGCAGAAAAGTCAACAGCATTTCTAGCCATGGTGACCCCATAGATCAGCACTGCTCAGTATGTATGTATACTCCAGATATGCCCCCTCCACAAAGGATCCATGTGCTAATTAGCCCCCACTCATGACTGGAACCAGGTGTTCTTGTCACAAGTCCTGGGATCCTCCAAGAACGTAAATGCATCTGAGATGGAAGTTAACCTAGTCTGGAGGGCCATACTAAACATATGCATCAGTCTGAGAGAGGGTGCAACAGAGGAATTCTGGATGAACTGTTTGGAGCCCCGTTTCATGATATTTGCCTGACATTTAAGGCTGGTGTAGAAACAGGATGTATTGGAAATGGGAAAGAAAGGCACACCTCAGCTGTGGGAGTGAAGAGGAAGTTGAAACGTATTCATTGTAGTGGCTCACCATGACTTGAAAAAGAAAATCAGCATTGAGAACATTAATTTAATATAATATAATATAATGCTTATTCTGTCTGTGTGTCTGTCTGTCCGTAACGCTTTTTGGCAAACTGCATATGCACTGCCAAGAGGCTGGGCAGTGATTGGTTGTGCAGGTCTGGGCTGCACAGGCCCAAGTTTGAGGCATTTCTGGCAACGTTTGTGGCAGTGGTGAACATGCCAAGCAGTGAGGCTTCCCCATGCCTCCCTGCCTGAGAGTGAAGGGGGGGTCACAGTGGCAGAGCACCCCCACCGCCCATCCCTGATGCCCTCCAGAATAGCCAGCAGGGAGTGGGAGGTGACGGGCAGGGAGGGAGGGAAGGGAGTGGAGTGGGTGGAGGTGAAGAGGGGGTCACAGTGGTGGCTTTTGTAAGGGCTGGGCAGTGGGGAAGGTTGGAGGGAGGGAGGGGAGTGGGAAGGGGGCCCTGACAACAGCCAGTAGGGAGGGGGGGTAACTGTGGGCCCAGGTGGACATGGGATGGGGAGAGGCAAAGGGGGGGTCATGGTAGCAGCTGTTGTCAGGGCCAGGCAGCAGGGAAGGAAGGAAGGGAGGGAAGCAGGGAGGAGAGGGCAGGGAAGAGGGGTCACAGTGGTGGTGTCCCCCCACTGCCTGGCCCTGACAACTGCTGGGAGGGAGAGGAGCGGGGAGGGGAGGAAAGGAAGGGGGAAGTCCCACTGTGAGGTAAAGGTGGACGGGGGGAGGGAGCCCTCATGCTGGAGACTGGAGGAGTCATTGGCAGTGAAGGGAGTCTTTACATGGCTGACCCTGAAGGGTGAGTGGGGAGCAAGGGGAGCCATGTGAACACTCCCTGAAAGCCATCATTCTTGATGGGCAATTAGCTAGTAATAGAATAGAACAGAATAGATCTTATTCAAATGAACTGGACTAACCTATCCTTGTGGTAGGTTCCCATTAGCATGTTTGCTCAATATGGGCCATGCGTTTTATAGTCATGCTCAGTGTTGACCAGCTTTAATGAACTTCCTAGTTGGTTTGCGTTACTGAGCCCATGATGCTTTTGGCAGTAGTTTAATAATAGGCTTTTTAATGAGGTTTCCTTGTGTGAAAATTTAAAAGGAGGGGCTTTTTCCCATGATGATTGGGGGTAATAAACCTCATCTTGTATTTGAGTAAATATGATATATGCCCTTCATCTTGTGTACAGATCAGTTTCTAGAAATGTTTTGGGTTGTAACAACATAATGCACATTTAAATTATTGAAACTTATTATTGGTGGTAAGAAATTAAGTCAAATAGTATGTTCTTCTTAAAGCTCAGATGTTTGACTATTTCCAATAGTAAAGGGAAAAAGATTTAGTCAGTTTTTTAGGAAACATTTGCAAAAATCATAGATACCTTCCCCCTGAGGCTCTTCTGAATGAGTCTTCTGCTGTTTACAGTGTCCCTTCTTTTCTTTGACCAAAGCCATACATACTTTAATGAGTTCACATGCATGGTCTGTGGTTTTCATCACTTTCTCATTCCCAAGCAATCC